AACTCACACTGTCAGACTGCCCCGATATGTATGTTTGCACATCGTTTGGTACTTACTTCTTGTTGCCGCTATAGAAATCCGTGCTGTGACAGCGACTACTTCCTGCAGATTGCGCCATTGTTGATTGTACGTTTTCTTAGTTCATGATGCTTACTTATCCGTTTTTCTGTAGAACCAGTTCTTTTCGGTCTTCAATATATCGTCTGCTGCCCCACGTCTGTCTGCTCCTATTGACTACTGACTGCGAACTGCGTATAATCTAATAGTCGCGATCGTCCCGTGAGATCCTTAACCGTACGGATCTTACAAATGGTGCTTATAATTTACGCAGTAAATTTTAAATAAACTGGTACATTATTCTAGAAGATATATAAGCATCAGTCCTCGCATGTTTGCTGTTCCGTATCACAACTTTTTCTGCATACGCACGCCTCTTGCACCATACAGGCAATGCATTGTCAAGCCTAATAAGATCTTATGTGCCGGGCTACAGCGCCAGTCCTTGATTGCTTAGCTATTAGACATAACTCCTCCTCTATCATCTTTTATTTAGACACATGCTGTCACCATCATAACTGTGGCAAACTTAAAACTGTTGTTTTCTAATGATGGACACCATTCCATCCACTACTCCATTGGACTCACCGAGCCTTGCCGATTTCACCCGCTCACTTCTCTTCCCAGGCTTCGAGCGCTCTGAATGATCGATATTCTCTCCACCTGGTCTGCGCTCTGTATCTAAGAAGATCCTCAACAGAAACAAAACTGGTCGTGATTCAACAGTGGCATCACTTCGCATCTATGGACCCCTTTGACGAAATCATGCCGTCCACAGAATTGCACATACCCACTCCAATTACCTCAAACGTAACTCCCGTTACGAGGCTGCCCAGAAACCCACGCATATTAGTGAAGCGGTGGCCCGGCACCGCCATAATCAGTCTAGCGACACAGCCACAACTATTCCCTTCATACTCCTGACTGTGCCCTCTCCCCTAGTTTTCGCTTGCTCACAACTACGAAAAAATTCTTTACCTGGCACAAGCCGCCCCCTGGACCGAATCCATTATAATCTGAGCAAACACTAACCCACTCTCTCAGGGAGCTTTCATATCCGACTGTGCCCAGCTGCGGCACCATTGAGTCTATACAGTTCACTGTATACCGTGAATGTGATATTCACCATCACCTAAACGCATTGCGTATCGCGTATTGCTCTTTCCTGCTAATTCTTTTTTGACGATGGTCATAAATCTAACTGTTTAAGGCCACATTACGTCAGTTTCAGCTTTGAGTTTAAGTCTCCCTGTCGGATCCAACGCAACACTGTTGTTTCACCCGCAACTTGCAGATATTTTTTCTACCACGTTTCAGGCAGGATGTCCTAGTTTTGCCCTCTGTGGTTAAGTTATTCGCCAACATCTCCAAATTAATCCTCAATCTTTGTTAGAAATATTATTTTTTCCAAAAAGGGGAAACCCCTAGTAACTGCCCTTCTATCCTTGATGCTGACTGTATTTTTGATCCTGCCGTTTTAGGCATGACCAGATTACCATGGGTGGTTTGTTGCACAATAGAGGGTACCCACGAATTTAAAAAAATCATGCTTCTATTCTGACTGTCTTATTTTGTTCGTGCCTACGGTGTACCACACTCCATCTAGAAATAAACTTTACGATTACGCCCCCTTGAAACCATGTATGTAACCACATCTTGGAAGGTTTCCAACCACAAGGATCTCTTGGCCCTTAACCAATGAGTCGACACGAATCTATCATCCTGTACTTTGCCATTCTACCCTTTTCATCTGATCATCTTCTGTGTATCTGTCATCTTTTCCAAAATGTCCAGTTCTCTTCAGGGAAAACGGCCAATGCTTGGTGGCAGACTTGATCTGCTCACTTGCGGAGGCTGGATGACTTTGCAATCTTCAGATCATATACTCATTAAGTCCGTGTTTTATTTCTAACTCCCATTGCTTGAAGCCAAGTTCTATGACATACTTTTGGCAGTTCAATGCTGGCGTGCAAGACAAGCCCATGAACCTTATGTAGCGCTTATCAGCTTGACAACTCGTTGCGGTGTATGGAGGTGGTAGCAACATTTCCCCGATATTATTCTTGCGGCTGCCGTTTTGATAATAACCCGTGCACCTTCGTTGAATTTGCCTGTCGATTTGGTAATAAACGTAATGGCAGTCACGTTCTTTTTATAAAATCATTTTTTAGGATGTAAATGAATCAAATGTGAGTCCAGGAAGCGGCCGTTTCCAGAATATTTCTGTTGGTGTGCGCGAGACAATCGTCTTTGAGGTATTTTTCCATCGATATGGGGTTTCAGCACGAAACAAAAGACACATCACATGGCTGGGTTGATGGTCATTTCCTCTATTTCTCTTGCTATTTGAACAGGTTTTCTTACAGCGCATTGGGGTTCCTCGGCGGATATATTAACATTCGTTTCTTTTTAGGACTTGAGATCATCTGCTTACATTAGCCAGCGTTCAAGAAATAAGTATTGACCGATGATGCAAATTTCAGAAACATCGTGTCTAACCAGAGCAAGAGAGGGCGCCCGCGTGCATGAAAAGACGCATGCAAGGCAGTCGACGCAATACGCTGTAAGGCAGCGGATACATCGTGTAAACTCAAAAACAGCTGCGCGTGTAGTTACAGCAGGCACGATGCATGGATTGGAAAGCGGAACGGCCGCGTTGCAAACAAACGTACATTTGACACCGAAACCGGAGACGAAATAACGAATACAGGTCACGTGAAGTACAGAAAAACATTTCAAGGACACTCGGAGAGGTGTGCAAGCAAACTACTCTTTCCTGTCCGGCGCTCGTGGCGACTCGTCCGGGACACCTGTAACCGGGAGAGGTGCACATGTAAGGTCATATGTTAGGCATGCGTAAGCGAGAACAGTCGAGTTTCACTTGCGCTACATGAAGTTGACTTGATTTTGGCGGTCACAGACGAAATCTGAAATTCCGCGCAAAAGTCCTCCTCAAAACCTCAACGAAATAAGTTTGCATGTAAGTCATGCGTAAAAAACCTAGTAAGTGACCAAAATCTTCGTATGCTTTGGCATCAGGTATAGTTGTTCGTTTCTGTGTGGTAAGCAGCATAGTTGTAGCTCAAAACTGCACCCGCGAGGTCTACGATGAACGAAGAGACGAAACCATTTCCACCAAAGTGTCATTTTGCTACCGGTTTCATTGTCGAATCATAGCCATAGTCCTGAACTATGGCCAGCTTCCACTCGTCGGTCAGCTGTTGTCTATCCAGGGACCTTTGGGAGACGCCCAGGCTACCAGTGCAAACTGATGAGCAGCTGAGATCTTGCGAGTGAAGGAATGCAGCAGTTTATGCTAAACGTTGGTGACCATTTAGGTAGAAGGAAAAAACTTTGCGTGATCGATGCCATGCGCATAGTCCAAAGAATATCGTGTATGAAGCGGTGATCTTCGAGCAATCGACCACGTAGTTGACCCAATTCATTAAATAGAACCAACCAGAGTTGCATGCTCGAACTCGACTTCCGATTTAGGTACGCATAGGAACGTCTCTATATTGAAATAAAGTAGTCGTATTATCTCATAGTCTTAAGTTTGCATCTGGGAAAGAAAATGCAAACAGTTCAGCACGACTTGGGAGCTTGAAATGTCAGCGCTAGAACAAGATGTAAAGCAGTCACAAAATGTTTTCCCGCATGTCAGGTTTACCTTTAATTCCAGGCTAGTCCGCGAAAATCTCCAGACTGTATGTCGTATGACAAAGATTGCATGCATGCTGCGCAAAATTAAGCAAACCAGTTTAGGAAATTCTAAGCATGATCGCTTTTCAGATATCGGTGTACAACTTGATTCGTTGCTGTAGTTCCTACCTAAAGGGAAACGAAGTTATACTCTAGAACCACTGAAGCGAGGCTGATGAAACGTACCCGATAAACGCAGCGATCCAGTTGAAGCTGGAGGTTGTGCAACCACCAATATCATCTAGGTCAGGGTACCTCAAACATCATTGTTGACTGACTATGAAGTTAGTGCCAGAATCAGTGAATAAGTTCGTTAGGCATGGCGTCGGTAGGCCAGGTGATCGTTCGAATCAACTTGGGGTCCATGGCTATTTTCATCAAAGTCTGTCAAAAAGTTGAAGTGGGCGTCCAAATCTGAGGAATACGGAACTCGACTATGAGTGTTAAAGTAAACAGAGCACTGGGCATTCTGACGCCCCAATGATGAGGCTTTCCGAAATCGGGGGGAAAATAAGTGCTCCACCAATGAAAAAGCGACGGATTTTGAACCACTGTTGATGTGGTCTCAAAAGGATAATTTAGGCTAATTGCCTTCGCGGGCGTAGACTCTGAGTAGACATGGAGACGCAAACTAGAACTTCCATTATGGTCTGACCCGACGAAAATTTTTCAACAACGCATCTGATAGCGGTACTTTCTACATCGGTGTCCTCAGCTTCCAAATGTGGACAAATCTCGGCGATTCCTCTCCTTTTAGGATTATTGCAGTTTTATACCATTTATTCCTTAGGTTGTGCGGATAACCAAAATTCACTCGCTGTTCTTGTGGTGGCTGGCTTTTACCTTATTGGGGGCAATTCCACATCACTTAAAAATTCCTAACAGGAGAATTAGTATCCCTAATCATAGGGCAATTCCTCCTTTGTTCAAACTTTTTATCTGGAACAAGCCCCACGGGACTTTAACTTGGGACTTCGCGGTCTTCAGAAAGCCTACGTATCCCCTTTTTATTGAGTGTGATGAAAATCATAAACCAATTGCGTTTCTCTCCCTCGACCAACAAGAGCGTTGCTGCAACTGGTGGCAAGAAGCGTTTGTTAGTAACTAAGACCAGCTTGCAACCCTAGTCAATTCAGGGGCATTCGCAAGGATCCAATATTGGTAAAAAAATAGCCGAATCCCAATAATGAGTTGCTTTTAGCCAAAGTATTTTCAGACCATGTATACAGACCATGAAACACTGAACTTCCGAAATCGGTGCATCCTTGGCAGCAGCTTACTTCGTGGTACAGGAACAGAAATAGCATCGCCTCCTAAAAAAGTGGATTTGCCTAATGCCTCCTTAAGCAAAACCGAAACGAACGTTTCTAGCTGATCATCCAATAATACACAGGACTTTTTCAGATAAAATAACTAGATCACCTGCGGGTACGCAATTTTGGTGAACCACAAGTCAGATGGCTTTATCTGGCACTATATCGAAATTGCGTCAGTAGCGCCAAGCAGAGGCCCATCAAGTATGAAAGTTTCAGTGAAACGAACGTTCGGTTGTGCACCGTAAGCTTTGTGATAAAGGTCGCCCCCTGGGCAGCAGAAATTGCAACAAATGTTGCGGTTCCTTGAATGCTGTTGTATCACAATTTAATGCATAGTGCCACCCAGAAGGCAACACTTGGCGTGTGCCCATTTGTCACAGATCTAACATCAATGAGCCAGGGAAGTCCCAAGCACTCTTTATGCTCGGCCTGCGCAAGGTCATGTGACTATTGTGCGTCGCACAGCAACGGACTTACACGGCAGAAAAATCGTGGATCTTGATGATACCGAGTTATTTTATTTTGTGGAAAATGCTTCCCGCTGTGTCCACAATTAGAGGGCGCCTCCAACGAGAGCTTGAAGAAAAATCCAACATGCCAAATATTTCGTCCCCCTTGTGTTGACATAGTTTCATTTCAGTTCCATCGCCCGCTGAATTTTATTAGTTGAGATATAAGTGGACATATTTCCACGACGGTGCGGAACTTTTTCAAACTATCCGTCAACACTGAAAACAAAAGAAACCTGTCCGAAAGGAACGAACTCTTTGTCTACATGGAGACAACGGCAGGGTGGCACAGTTTGGCCAGATTCAGGCAGAGATAGGCTTTCGACTTTCGGCGGGTTCATTGTGAAAGCGTTTAACTGTTGCATAAATACTGTGCCCGACGATCCTGTTGGTTAACTTAAAATGGACGGCCAGCGTAATCTGTTTTGACCCGCCCGAGTTGAACAGTGCGTAATCATCAAATAGCCATCATGGGTGCTTAAGAGCGAGGAGACGCCGAAGGGATCAATGAAGAGCGCAGGCAATGGAAGGGCGTACGCAAGGTCCTCAGCTTGGAACTCGGTGACAGTATACTACGAAGGACCAGGGAGTTTCGGCTGAAATGACAATTTAATGTGCATCACCAGAGCGACGGTTGAATATAAGTATATTCCCAGCAGTGAAACGAAACTGCTGCTGCTTCAACAGAACAAACAAATACGAAATCGTTTGGAAACTGTGCCGTGAAACACCCTGGAAATTCACTAAATACTTCCCCTAAAGATCTCATTGATCTCCCACCCGATGAAAGTTAGATGCGTGAGGATGCGACAGACGCCCTCCGTCAGCGTTCATATCTATGCTATCAGCTGCATACTGTGATGAACATGACTGACACTCTATTCGTTGCTCTATTCATTATTCTCTTGTTTTAATATTCCATATGCTGTACATATTCGCCAATTCGAATACATACGTGCTGGCTGTTACGCTTCGTTGAATTTTGGATTTCTAGTTCGTCTGGTTATTCCGATATAAGTCCGAAACTTAGTTCTCACATTTTGGCGTCGTGATTGGAACGATTCATCATGCCTACCGAAATGGAACCATTAGATGTTAATTCAACTGCGCGTGACGTGGAGGATTATTTGGAACGATTCGACATATGGTGTCTCACAAAATCCGATTTGGACGATAAGAAACTCACGGCATATTTCCTACATTTCATTGGCAAGGATGCGTATACGTTGATCAAAAATTTAGTATATCCTGAATCTCCAATTGATATTCTCTACACTGCATTGAAGAAAAAAGTCCTTCAAAACTTCAAGCCGATTAAACTTGTAGCAGCCGAAAGAGCTAGGTCCAATATGTCGACCCGCTGTCACTCTCAGTCCGCTGGTGATTTCGTGTTACGGCTGCAGACACAGGCAGCCAAATGTGACTACGGTGCCCAATTAGATGACGCATTGCTGGCATTCAGCTGCCCGAATTACAGCAGAAGCTGCTACTCTGTCCGGATCAGAAATTTCAAACTATTCGGCAGATATGTGAGCAGTATGAAGATGTGAAGCATGTGACGAAGACTGAGGAAGCAGTCCTGTTAAATTATTCTAAAAGAAATAATTCAAGGATGCGGACGAACAACAAATTCAAACCTCGAACAGATTCTCGTGCCCAAATCCATCAACACGTCACTTTACGGATCCCAACCCTGATCCGATGGTTCAAACATTTGGAAAATGTGAATCTTGTGGGCGAAACCATTCCAGATATTCATGCCCTCACAGATGAGCGAAGTGTCGTTTTATCTGCGGTAAAACAGGACACATTCAACTTGTCTGTAAGCCCAAAAAAGTGTGACACCTATCTTCTGACACAAATACTGGCGTGAAGTCATTATCTGAAGATATTTCCACTCTTTCTCTATCTGTTCGTCACATGTTTTTAAAACTTTGATATCCGCTTCTGGTCAAAACCCTGACTTTATTGTTGATACTGGTAGTGTTGAGTCCATCATTCCACAATCAGAACTAACTGCATTCTACCCCAGTGCCGTGATAATGCCTACAGATGTTAACATTCACGGTATCACTGGACATTCTGTACCTTTAGTTGGTCGTTGCACGAGCCCTGTGAGGTTACCCCAAGGTACCTCTATCGAGTATAATTTCTTGGTTTCAACGTCGGGACCATCGATCGTCGGACTCAAAGTTCTACGCTTACTGCAAACCACTATCACCTTACCGACGTCTGTGAATGAGAATGAAATCGAACAACCGATTCCTAAATGTCCTACGCCTACAGGTGACATGCAAATATCCAGGAGACGAATTGTTCAATTTGGCTTACACGAGCCTGTTCGTCAAGCGTTTCAACGAGTTCATGCCGACTGCTGTGGTCCCTTTCTCGGCAAATACTTTGCTTTAGTCGTTATTGACGCATATTCATGTTGGCCTGAAGTTTTTCTGACCAAGTCTCCAAGTGCCGAATTCACTCAGCGAGTATTGAGGAAAGTCTTCAGCCGCGAAGGTGTACCAACTGTTTTGGTCACTGATAACGGCACATGCTTCACTGCGAAATTCCTCGAGGAATGGTTGAAGGGTCTTGGATGTCGACATCTGTTTACTGCTCCGCGACATCCCCAGTCGAATGGATTTGCTGAAAATTTTGTCCGAACACTAAAGTCTGCCATTATTTCACTCTCTCCCACTACTTTTGCAGAATTGGACCGTGGGATTGATAATTTTCCAATGCAATACAGGAACACCGTCGATTCCGTTACTGGGAAGAGTCACGCGCTTCTATTTAAATCTCGTTCGTTGCGTACAAGTCTTGACTGTGCCAAAACGGCTGATGTTACATTTTTCAAGGGTAATAGGGGAAAAACGAACGTCTACAACAGTTATTGCGGTGACATCAGGTGATTAAACAAGACAGGATGGGGATGGATTTGCACTCACTGGTGTAGTCATCAAAGTCAGGCTAAGATTGCCAATATAACTATACTACCTGAGACAGGACAGTTCACTGTATGTAGGCTAAGAGACGGCTTGGTGAGGGTAACCCAACACGTAACAACTGGTGTGGGTGTAAATTCTGAGATGGTGGGCTAGATTTCCTGGAGGTCGTTAGTAAGTTAGACGGTACTAGGACAGTCTAAGAGGGGAGGTGTATGTAAGGGAGATGGTCATCATCCCCCGAAGCACTACTATCAGCTTCAATCGATGAGTGGTGCATGACGAAGTGGACTTCCGATTTTAGCCTCGCATACTGATAGTTGAGAGTCTGGAGTCTCACTCTCTGGTTATATGTGTAGTACGTCCGTTCGTGGGAGCAGCAAGTTGGTGTCTTTTTGGTTGATCAAGGAGGTGAGTTTTGGTGCGGTGTAGCCTCGGTATTGACGTAGGCGGCTACAGCTATGCACGTCGACGTAGGCCACGGGCATCGCAGAGTTTCTTTTGGCTATCCCAGGTATATTGTTTTTCAACACGTCTGGACAGGCGAAAGGCCAGTTTTTTTGTTGTTTTTATGGCTTTGTAACGATCGTTTCGAATTATTGGGCAACGAGCACCAAGGTTAGCAACCAAATCGGCAAAACTCCGAACTAATGGCTTCACAGATGTGCTGTACAATAAAAATGAAAGTAGTTACACGGAATACAAAATTACGAACCTCAGCGGTTTTCGACAAGCGGTAAGGTACTCCAAAAGGCAAGCAAGGCGGATATGGATCAACAGTCAACGCGTGCAATAAAACAAATTTACAGTTGACCGGGGTTTTGGTACAAAAATAGTAAAATCGAAGCGGTAAAAACGATTTGCGCAGTAAGGAAAACAGAAAATACAAATGTCCTGTGAAACCAAAGATAGGATTCAACTACACCGGCCCAAAAAGTGGCGATTTATTTGAATTGTTGACCGGGAAGGCAGTCATTCAAGATGGGCGGCAATTTTAAATATATACGAGGCTGCAAAATGCGTTGCCAAATAACTCAACAGAGGCGAGGCCTACACCAGCAGCAACAATCAGAAGACAGCAGTGCTCATTTTTACTTCATTTCCCTAATTTAAAGGCCAGGCTCAGAATCACCAGCAATGAGCAATGCACACGTGCTACCGGAGGGGTGGTGGGTTTATGAGCGCACCAGCGCGACCCTCCTTGTAGGGCGTACCCATCCACCACACGATGTTTCCATCCTTCGTGCATGCTGCCAGAGCTGCAAGGTGGAAAACCATTCAAGCAGTCATAGGTGCGGTTTGCGCAATAATAAAGTACTCCATCTACCAGTTTTTTCCGGTCGGGGGGAGTAAGGCCAGCAAGGCCGGTTCGTCAATTCGAACAATAATAAAGTACTCCATCTACCAGTTTTTTCCGGTCGGGGGGAGTAAGGCCAGCAAAGACAGCTCAGTCAATTCGAACAAACAGTAAACGTGCGCTGGTAGAGGCACCTCGCGGAGGAGGCAGTGAAATGACAGTGTCCAATGGGACAATGGAAACGGTATTGTGATATTCAAAGCGAGTGAACTGTGGCTAAACGGTGAGTGAGCGATGGTGTGAGCTACCATGTC